CCATTGAGCAATCATCATTGCAACATCATCAAGAAAATACTGATAGTACTAATTTAGAAAAATAGGAGAGAAAAATGGAACCCAATTAAAACAAATCAAAGTTACAAGTTGCAAGATTCAAGGAAGTACGTGGTTCTACAAGAGCATGACACAAAATAACATACATAAGCCAATTAGAACATGAAACTAGGCAATCTTTAAAAGGACCCTTGAAGGTAAACTTATTTGAGAGCCTGCTATGACAATATCAGTAGATTCTTTGTCTCATATCATAAGCATAAACATCTTCAATATCATAAAAGAATCATATGAATGTATACTTGCTTTGTAAGTTTTAGTGCCACAAATATTTTGACATATAAGGAGATAATCAGATAAAACGAATAGAAAGCTGCGTGTATTAAATAATACAAATCCCATACGTCTATACATGTAACATGCCTGGAAAGTAGTTATAGATATCCTTAATATAGCAACCAATTGCTAAATATCACACCAGTTTAAAAATCGACATACTACAAAATTAAAAGGCATATTATATTTTAAGTTAAACATTTTGCTTTTTACATTTATGTCAAACAAACAGATTACCTAGCAAGTTTTGCTTCCTTAAAAATGGCCAGTTGCTGGGAGAAAAATGATTTGCAAGAACTTCACCCACAAGTAAGTGTGAAAACTGAAAAGCAATCCATTAGTATATGTAAAATGAATGCAGTTTATCAAACAAAGATAAGTTAGTAATTCTATTTTTGCTTCCTATTTTCTCTCTTAAAAATGTATCTGAAAAAAGACTACCCAAACAGTATCAAATGAAAAACAATGTAAATATTAGAAAATAAACAGTTGATCTATGAATTGCTGGTTGCAGAATGGCTTTAAATTTATTGTTGTCTGGCATGCTTAATAGTTAGTAATTTGAGCATTAACATTTTTATCTTATGCTACTTACTGCTTCCCTCATTTCCTCCCAATATTGTAGGCAAAAAGATTAGACATAAAGACAACGAATGGATCCCGTGTTACGCCAAAAACTGCCGGCATTGAGTCAACGTAAAAAAAATTGAGTCAACATTCCAATGCCAAATTAACTAGAAATTCCACATGAAATAGATAGATGAGAAAACCTACTGCAAAGGCAATGTCACTAAGCTCGATAACAGCTACAGTAAGAAGCAAAGGGGTGGCCTGCCCAAAATGTTTGATCTCTGTTAGAAATCAAGTTGAAATTAATTTAATTATAAAAAAAAATTATTGAAAAAGAAATAATAATGATAATAAAATAAACAGTTCAATGCATTCATGCTGGGAAAAGATAAAAATTGATCAAAATAACAAAACAGTATAAATTGAATCAGTTCACTTCAAACAATGGCATGCCAAGTAAAATGTATATACCAACAATATATTTTGCATCCGGCTTATACAAGAAGGAAGCTACAATAGGATATACCTATATCCACAATTCTATAACAGAATACTAATGAAATCAAACTACTACTGAATATATTCTGTAACTATGATTGTACATATTCTGATCTGCACTGAGATTCTTCAACTTGCATGAGTTGTAAATCAATTACACCCTCATATTAGAAACAGAGTAAACTTTCAACGTTCTAGGAAGATAGTAATGTAGAAATGTATTGTTATTTGTTAATATAGAACATAAAAGATGAAGAGTATCCTGCTAATAGTAACGTAGAAATATGATCATCCAACTGGCGGTCTCACAATTCCATGCCAGGAGGATGAGTTTTTGAACGTCACCTCTTTCTTGAATGATTTGTAGATCATGCTAATAGATATTAAGATAGATTAGATGAGGATATTTTTACAGAACGCACTTTCTTCCATTGTAAAGATTTTTCATTTTGTTATCTTGTTGAATTCCATTTAGAAGTTTAAACCTGTTGCTGAATCAGGATGCAAATAAGACATTTTTTAAACACATTTTCCTTTTTCAAATCTCAATATTATTTCTTATATGTACAACAATATAATTATCTTATTTCAGCCCATATATATTAGATTATTATTTTGTTATCTTGTTGAATTCCATTTAGAAGTTTAAACCTGTTGCTGAATCAGGAAGCAACATAAGACATTTTTTAAACACATTTCCCTTTTTCAAATCTCAATATTATTTCTTATATGTACAACAATATAATTATTTTTTTTCAGCCCTTATATATTAGATCCTTAATTTTCAGTTGTTAAGATCCTTAATTTTGTTTAAGTGGTTGTCACTGGTCTCAACAGCTTGGGAAACAGCATTAATATCTGTTTCCTTTTCCACTTTTAGATATTCTTTTAATTCTGAAAAATGAAGTCTGCAAGATTTTCTCAAAATTACAAGAGTTCTAAGAACAGCTTTAAAAAACTGGGGTAATGGGGTATGACATGTTGGAGAGTAACTACTTAGAGATTAAGGGACAAGTCCAACTTCTGCAACTTCTCTTACTTAGACTTCAAATGTGTAATGCTACCAAAGAAATAACCTCCAAAACCCTTTGTCACCAACAACCTTGTTGAAAACTTGCCTAACTTTGGAACACTATTAGCCAAGGATGATTCAGTTTCTGCCCCCACACAAAAATTCCCTATTGCCGGTTGTGAATCCAAAGGCTGCCTCTGACATCCATTGGAACGGCACAGCCCAAAAAGGGATGTTTGAAAAGAAGGTTTGTTAATCTCAAATAAACTTTTCCACACTTTTCAATTTATTTTAAAAGATATCTGCAAGTTTCTTTTGAAGTATTAAACTTATATCACTTTAATCCCTTTAGAGTTATTTATTAAATTCTTAGCAGAACATGGATTTAGACTTAACTTAATTCTACAAAACCATGAATATGAGTGACAACTAATAGACCAATTAACTTAATCCTATAAAACCGTGAATGTGAGTCACAACTAATAGACCAACTATTTAAATAGAAAACTACAAATACAAATCCTGTGTAGCAACTAATCTTCTATTTAAACAAAGTGGAAAAGAAAAACTGTAAAAGAAAGTCCAAACCACTAAATTATTAAAGCTTCATAAACTAATTATTTCAAAAGCTTAAACTAAATACATAAAGGAAAATCTTTCACACAAATTAATATAATTGAGGAGAATTTGATTAGAGCTCATTAAGTATGGGTTTTCATAATAAGAGAGATTAAGAATTCTCACTATTTAATTTATTTCTAAATACATGAACCCAATTCATTCACGCAAAATCTTTCACTCAAACTTTTTTCATCAAAAAGGTTCTATATATAGAGCTCCCCAATTTGAAATATTTTACTTTCACGCAAGTAACAGGGTATAATGAGCAATTGATATTTCACAGTTAATCAAGGATGCATTTAATTAAGGATGCAGTTTTATATTCATACCATGCATAAACATCATCAATCAATAAGCTGTCTTATTTTTCTAAACGGTAGTAATAGACAACCAAAAACAATTAATGGCCTTTTTTCAAGATGTAATCATTCGAGGTCTTCTGTTTCTGTAATCATTCTTCAGAGTTCAAATGAACCCTGTACACATACAAACAAGCAACCAAAGATTTGAATTGCCTTAAAGCCATGCAAGAGGAATATGCTGCCCTCATTGCAAATTACACTTGGACATTGGTGTCACCACTTCCCAATGACGATGTAGCACTAGGCCCTACATCCATGTTTCAAACTACTGATGTGGATAGTGTGTTCATGATTTGGACTTAATTTACGAAATAACAATTTAATATATATATATATATATATATATATAAGAAAATATATTGAAGGGTCAGAATGTGGTGTACTTTAAAGATAAATGCAGATGATCAACCATGCTTTTAAATTGTAGTTTGCAACTTTTTTAACTTTAAAGTATCCACAATGACATTGCACATTTTCTCATAATTTTCTGTCATTTCAACAATTGTTAACTGCTGCAACTACAACCTTAATTTAAAACCATGCTTTGAATTAAATTAACCATAGACAAGAAGTACATGTGGAAATGCTTAAAGCAAGTTTGGTTGCTCAGGGATTTTCATTAAAATATGAAACTTTTACCAGACTTTCTCACCTGTCGTTTGACCAAACTTTCTTAGAGATTCAGAATTAATAATGGTGACTTACCAGTAATGTTATCAAATCATGAGGATTGGGATCTCTTTGCCATCGTGAGAAGTTGCAAAACTGCAACCTTTATTAAATTATCACTATGAAACCCTGATACGATTTTGAGTCTCAATGTGAGAAATGATTAATAAAAAAAAAAAAGAAACATTATTGATTCCAATCATCACTATCGTAAAATCAGAAGTTTGAAAGCGGAAGAGAACATACCCGCCGGAGTTAGGGTTTTCGATGATGATGCTTTTCACGAACTGAGAAGATTCGGGGTGCTTACGATTAACGTTCTTGCAGAATCAGAATCAGAAAAACAAAAGGGCTTTGGAGAACGATGGGAAGCAAAGGGCTTTCTTCAGAGACGATGAAGGCGTTCTTTAGCAATGCCGCGCGCGAGGCTTTCTTTGGTGGTGGCACACGCAATTGAGGGAAAGCTATTGGGTTCTACATCGGTAAGTTAACTGATGTAGATATATTTAAGCTTTTTCTCTTATTTACGAAATTGTCACCTACTTTTAGAACTACATCGGTCCTTCAATAAACCGAGAATACTTAATATTTTTCTTTAAAATTTTTAAATAATTACAAAATTACATTGCATTTTATTTTTATATCAGTTATACTAAAATCGATGTAAAATTAGCGATGTTAATGAATCCTTTTCTAGTAGTGTAGCTTTCATGTATGATATATGGGTGATATTGTATATTATAAATTTGTTTTCTATATGTACATGTTTTCAAACTCTAGCTTACCTTTTCTGTTTCTATGGTAGTTTAGACTACGATAATCATACATTGTATAGGAGCAGATTAGGTCCAGGCTTTAAGGAGCTGTTATGGACAAATGTTGTGATCTTTTTTGATGACGATGCTACTGATGTGCCTTGTATAGGTGTGTTTGACTAACAATAGGACATAGGATTATTTAGGATGATTGTATACATGTATATATCCCATTTATATCAATTTGGTTATTTTACTTATATACTCACATTATATATATGTATGTTATGTTCCTTCCCTTAATTATATACATTTTAGTAATTTAGTTTCGCTGCTAGTAGTAATAATTTTACAATGTTACAACCATGGTGGGTTGTTACAAATTTTATTAAAAACAATTAATGTAAATTTTTAAATTTATATTTAACGTTAATTTTGTTGAAATATTAAAAATAATATAAAAAAATGCAAATAAATATATAAATATTTAAATAATTTTATTTAACAAATATTCGTCAATATAAATATTGTCATACCAGTATTGCATCATCACATTTACAAATAGATAGAAAAATACTCATAATTATTATTTATGAATATTCTTTTTTATAAAAGTTAAAAATGTTTAACATCACTATGATAGAGACATCTCAATAATGTTGAGATCCTAAAGTCTATTAATCATTTATTGTACATTCGAATATATAAAATTAAAAGTGTAAAAATAACAAAACAAACGAAGAAACTAAACCAAAACTCATAAAAAAGAATTACCAATTACAAATATTTATTTATTATTTGTGATAGATGTTATTAGTGGATACGAACTTTTTTTTGTCTTCCCTAATTACATTTATTCTCAATAATTTGTTTGATAACTTTTGTTGCACTTCACATGCGTTTGACGTGAAAGACGTAGCAATCGGTAGCTTGAAAAGGTTGATACAACCAACTACATTGGCATCAGATCATCAGATGGAGCGTAACAGCCCATTTTTAATGAAAAATAATTCAAAAACAATGAGCTGCTCCTAAATATCACCAATAACGTGTAAAAATAAATGTTTGTTTGATAGTTAGATAAAATATAATCAATACAATGTAACATACACCTTTTTCTCATGCTTGACAATTGGAAAAATAATGTTCCTTTGACAATTGGGTATGATATAATTTGGGCTTAGGAAAATAAATTAACAAAATTTCAGTTGATTTCTCGTTTACAAAAAGATTATTTTTGTAAAATAAGTTTATATTTAGGATAATAGTCATGATTTGCAAAAAAAAAAAAACTAAAAATTAAGTTTAATGCATTTAAAAACTTATAATTATTTTTCAACAACTTTTTTTCTCTTAAAGTTAATTTATTATGTAAAAGGTTTTTTTAAACTAAATACACACTCTTAAATACATTTAAATGATTAAAAATAATATTAAATAAGTTTTTAGTTTTAAATATAATAAATAATTGTTTTAAATAAAATTATTAATTATTTACTTAACCGTTATGTATGTATAAGATGAGAATTGAATTAACAAAAAATAAAATAAAAAAATATTAATAAGCTTTGTCTAAGATAGAAATCAAAGTTACAGAAATTTTATTTTTATAATACAAGTTTAATTTAAGTAATATATTATAATTTTTCACGTTAAAATATGGCATGAAATATTCATTCTAAAGTAATTCTTCATAAACTATTATAATTATCACACTTTTATAAATTTTACTTTAATAATTATTTACGGGATGCTATCTATTTATTTCAAGAGTAACTCTTAATAAAATTATTTTATTTAATAACTCATAATTTATATTAAATTTTAATAATTTAATTATTAAATTAACAATTCACAAAAAATAGATGAAATAAATAACCTTTTTTCTTATTGATCGAATTTTTTTAAAATTATTTCTTGAGTAAATTGATTCCTTCATATTATTTATAAATAACCTTTTTTCTTATCATAAGTACATTTATTTTATATTTATTATTTTTTCTTTTACAATAATACACTCTTTGTTAAATTTAAAAAATAAAATTGTACAAAAATCTAGACAATATCATTTTATGTGAATTTTTACCTATTTTGAAATTTTAAAAAAATTACAAAAATAAAATTCCCACCAATTTATTTACGCATGTAAATTTGTTCACTGTACCCCTCCGGAATTCGGTCCCCCGGATCTGAATTCTGTGAGGGGTGTTTTTTTTTCTTCCTTTTCTGTGTTTTTTGTTTTCTATTATATATATATATATTAATTGAATAATATATAAATTAATATAAATGTATATATATATATTAATTTATATTAATTGAATAATATTTAATTTATATTAATTTATATATTATTCAATTAATATATATATATATATCTATTATATTTTAATAATTTATAATTTTATAATTTAATAATTTGTAAATATAATAAATTAAAGTTTTAATAATTTATAATTTTAGAAAGTTTATATTTATAATAAGTTATAATTTGAAGAAGTTAGAATTTGAATAAATTGAAATTTTAATAAGTTTATATTTATAGTAAGTTATAATTTGAACAAGTTAGAATTTTAGGGTTTAGGATCACGAATGATTTATGAAATCATTCGCGAAATTATTAAGGCTGATCTATCCACACCCATCTCAACCATCATAGCCCACTTCAAGTCTACGATGGATTATATAATTAGCTACAAAAAATGATGGTTGAGGAAGCAACATGCCATTGAAAATATCTTTGGAAATTGGGAGGATTCATAGCACAAGTTACCAGGTATGTTGCAAACCATGCAAATGTATGTTCCGAGCTTCATCTGAAAATTAAAATACGCAATTGACATACAAAGGTAGCTTATTAGACGAGGGGAGTGTTTTCTTCAAAAGGTTATTTTGGACCTTCAAACCATGCATTGATGGTTTTGCCTTCTACAAACCAATTGTTCAAGTGACCATGGAACATTTTATATGAAAAATACAAAGGGACGTTGTTGGTGGCTGTTGCGCAAGACGGACACAAAACATAATTCCCATTACGTTTGCTATTGTTGAAGGTGAAGCGATGCATGGTTCTTTTTCCTCAAAAACTTAAGACAGTATGTAACACCACAAGATGGGTTGTGCCTCATTTTGGATCGTTACAAGGATATTAAAAGTGCATACTCCAAAAATTGAAGTGGTTGGACAGAAAATAATTTTGTCCATGTCTATTACATTAGACACATTGCACAGAACTTCATGCGACGATTCAAAAAGGTAACACTAAAGAAGAATGTCGTCAACATGGGTATTTTTTTTTTGTACTCTATATTATCATTAATATTTTTTAAACTTTCTTACTTGATTTTCATAATTTAATTAATATTTTTTTTGCAACATATGGGATGACTAAACCTATAGTCTTTTACTATTACAATATAGTAAGAGATAATAATGTTGAAGCATTACAATGGTTGGACAACATCCCAAGGAAAAAATGAACACTGGCATGAGACAATCGACAACGTTGGGACACATGACAACAAACTTAATAGAGTCAATTAATTCAATCTTGAAGAAAACAAGAAACCTGCCAATTTGTTTCATAGTAATGGTGACATACACCCATTGCAACAAGTTCTTCGTTGAGAAAGGTAGGGAGGTGGATGCAATGATTAATGATTAATGTTGGACATGTCTATTCGGAGATTGCAACTAAAACTATTCAAGATGCACAATCAAAGGCGAACACTCATAGAATCATCACTTTTGACAGAATAAGCACTAGATTTTTAGTGGAAGAAATGTAACATCCGGGAGAAGATCCTAGATGAAATGTGGTGTGATTGTGGCAAGTTCCAGAAAGTTCATATCCCTTACTCGCATGTACTTGCTTCATGCTCACATGCACGCCACAACTTTGAAAGTTATATATCTGCCATCTATACCTTATAACAAGTTTCAAAGGTATACGAAGGACTAGGAATGACAAATAAACTCGTACCCGTGGGTAATACCCGAACTCGTCCCGACTTTGACGGGGAATACCCGATTTGACCTGGTACGGGTATGGTACGGGTAAAACCTGTTAATTAAACCGAGTACGGGTACGGGTATGGGTATATACATACCCGCCCCGTACCCGTACCCATGCCCGATTTAATTATATTAACAAAAATTAATATTTTATTATGTGTAATTATTTATTATAATGTGAAATATTTATAATTGTGTAATTATTAAGAACTGTATTGATTAAAATATGATATAAAGAAATACTCTAATTATAATTATAATATAATAGAAAAATAATTTAAAAATATTATATATTTTTTTTGCAAAAAAAAAATAATTTTTTACGGGTATGGGTATACCCGATACTCGACGGGGACGGGGATGAGAATGAAAACCACATACCCGAAGGGTACGGGTACGGGTACGAGGATGAGTTTGTGTCGCGGGGACGAGGATGAGTATCATAAAACCCGTACCTGACCCGCCCCGTTGCTATCCCTACGAAGGACAGTTCGAAGAAATACGAAGATTATTGGCCAACTTACACTGACTCAACTTTGTGGCCAAATCTGAAATTAAAGAGAACTTTCAAGGGTTGGTCAAAGTCCAACAGGATTAGAACAGAGATGGACATTAAAGAACAACATAATCGTGTAAAAAATTGTTCTTATTGTCACACCCCTGGTCACACTAGGAAAACATGTCCAAATATTGGTCATGTATTTAGTTTTCGCCACCATTAATTTTTGTT